TGCACACTCCATACAGACAGTCGCTCGAGGGTGGAATCAAACCCGGGTCCTTGGTGCTGTGAGGCTGCAGTGCTAACCACTGTGCTGCCCTAAAATCTGACTTTCAATGCCATGGAACATTTTATCCACTGAATAGTATACTCTAATGTATCTAAAGACTTCAAGCTTTCATGATCCTGATCAATTTAATGTTCAATAACTTCCAAGGAAAAAATAACAACACCAAAATCATATTCAACTTCTCAAATAGAACTTCATTATGACATGGGTAGCTATTAATATGCCTGACTGGCTTGTCAGTAAGTTTCCAACTGTGGACCATGTTGCATTCAGACCTTGTTGCGTTCAGACTTTGTTGCGCTCAGAAGGCGGCCTGATGCTATAAATGTTGTCTGGGGTGAGTGTTGTCTTTGAGTTTTCCAAAACAGCAATGAAGGCAATGACTTCTGGAAAGTTGAGTCCAGACTCATGACTTGTAGCCTTATCCCACATTCTCCAAAACTGCAAGCATCATGGAGAGTTTAGTTATTAAAGATGTGGGTACTATCCATCATTGTTAAAGCTCACATATTATGTGTGGGCAGATCTGGTCCTAGGATGTTGGCTTGCTGGTAATGTTTGATTTGGTTACTACATCATGTTGTTGAAGACTGCGAGAGCTATTGTTGTGAGGCATTGTGGAATGAGAGAAAGTTTTTTGTATTAGTGTTTTCATAGTTTCGAAAAGACATCCAAATTTGGATTTACTTGAAATTTTGGGCACTGTGTGGCTATTTAATTTCAGATTAAATTACAATGAAAGAAATTAGAGTCAGAGAGTCCTATAGCAGGGAGACAGGCCCTTCGGCCCAAATGGGTCAATGCCAACCAAAACGCCCATCCACGCTAACCCCATTTCCCTGCACTTGGCCCATATCCTTCTAAACCTGTCCTATCCAACTATTCGTCCAAATGCCTTTTAAATGTTGTTAATGTACCGCCTCAACCACTTCTGCTGGCAGCTCATTCCATATGTGTACCACCCTCTGTGTAAAAAAAAAAAAATTGCCCCTCAGGTTCCCATGTATTCTTTCCCCTCTTAAACTGATGACCTCTCGTCCTCGATGCCCCAACCCTGGGAAAAAGATTGAGTGCATTCACCCTATCCATGCCTCTCATGATCTTATACACTTCTATATATTCTCCCCTCATTCTCCTCCACTCTAAAGAAAAATGTCCTAGCTTGTCCAACCTCTCCCTATAGCTCAGTCCCTTGAGTCCAGGCAACATCCTTGTAAATTTCTGCTGCACTCTTTCCAGTTTAATAACATCCTTCCTATAGCAAGGTACAAAACTGAACATAATACCCCAAGTGTGGCCTCATCAATGTCCTTTACAACTGCAACATAACTTCCTAACTTCTGTACTCAATGCCCTGACTGATAAAGGCCAGTGTGCCAAAAGCCTTTTTCGCTGCCCTGTCTACCTATGACTCCACTTTCAGAAAACTGTGCATCTGAACTCCAAGGTCTCTGTGTTGCACTACACATCTTAAGTCCTACCATTCACCATGAAACTCCTACCTGGATTTGACTTGCCAAAATGCAACACCTCACACTTCTCTATGTTAAATTCCATTTGTCATCTCTCAGCCCACTTCCTCAGCTGATCAAGATCCTGCTACAATTTCTGATAACCTTCCTCAATGTCCACGATACCACCTATTTTAGTGTCATCCGTAAACTTACTAATCATGCCTTGTACATTCTCATCCATATCATTGATATAGTTAACAAACAGCAATGGGCCCAGCACTGATCCCTGAGGCACACCACTAGTCACAGGCCTCCAGTCCGACAAGCATCCTTCCACCATTACTCTCTTCTTCCTACCATCAAGCCAACTGTATATCCAATTTGCCAACTCTCCCTGGATTCCATGTGATCTAACCTTCCAGAGCAGCCTACTATTTAGAACCTTATCAAAGACCTTACTGAAATCCATGTAGACTATGTCCACCACACAGCTCTCCTCAACCTTCCTGGTCACTTCATCAAAGATTGTTAAAAAAGTTGTTGAAGGTTTTGGAGCTGTGTAATCCTTCTATATGTTTTCATGTATTTTTACTCCTGTATAGCAATAATCTGCGATGACCCTGAAGAGATTCTGAATGGATATTTTCAGGCACCAAATAAGACCTTTGGAAATAGAGTTACTTACTATTGTGATACTGGGTGAGTATTCTGTATGTAAATTACTCAATCATTTAGCCGAAGGTCCATATTAATTTAATGTTGTGATTAAGACCATTTCGGATGACTACCATCTCTCATTCTTCAGATATCAAGTGAGCTCTCACGAGGCTTCCAAATTAGTGTTGAACTGACAACTTGTTTTTAATGAAGTTTTTATACTGAACAGGATTGTTAATGCTTGCAATGGAATATCAGTTCAGTGTGGAAATGCTGATATGTTAATTATCCATAAACCAATGCTGCAAAATTAATGTATTGCTCCGTATATTGGACTTGGCATTTAATCAGACAGAAGGATTCAGGTGAGGACCACACCTTCCTGTCTTTATCCCAATTAAGACTGCTGTTGGAAATCTTGTGGACAGTCTTCTTGCTCTGATGCCTATTGAGGCTTTTAAGTGTACAGTTAATATCCTCTGAAGCATCTCATCCAAGTGCCACTGGACAGAAAACCCCAAAAGCAGACTATCTGGTTTGTTTGCAGGAACCTATGTTAGGGATCCTCATTGTCAGGCACTTAATGCTTGATCAAGGGATCCGGCTTCCATGATGGAGGGTGTGTGGAGGAAAATGGGTGGTATTAACCAAGACAGCCACCCTTGTCCTTTCCTATGATCTTCCAGCTTCTGTTCTCCCTCCCTTAGCCAGAAAACACCTCTCCTAGATATCAATCTCTCCCTTAGTGACATGCAAGCTACATCCCACTTCATTTCTTGGCATCTGGTAAGTGAATTGACAACAGCAATTATAGATATTAACCTAAAATTTAGTGGTTTAGCCAAAATGAAGTTAAGTTAAATTAAATGAAGAGAAGGAAAGTGAGTTGGGGGTACTTTTACATAAGGCATAAAGCTAGCACAAGAATGCAGCAAGTAATCAGGAAGGCTAATTGAATGTAGGCCCTTATAAGGCCATAAGACAGAGGAGCAGAAATTACGCCATTTGGCCCAACGTGTCTGTTCCACTGCTCAATCATGACTGATAAGTTTCTCAACCCCATTCTGCCACTTTCTCGCTGTAACCCTGATTCCCTTGACAATCAAGAACCTATCTATCTCTGCTTTAACTATACGCAGCGACCTGGCCTTCACAGCCCTCTCTGACAATGAATTCGAAAGATTCACGACTCTCTGGCTGAAGAAGTTTCTCCTTATATCTGTTCTAAAGGGTCTTCCCTTTACTCAAAGGCTGTGCTGCTCTCGGATCCTAGTCTCTCCTGCCATTGGAAACAGCTTCCCAATGTCCACTCTGTCCAGGCCATTTAGTATTCTGTAAATTTCAATTAGATCCTCCTCATCCTTCTAAACTCTATTGAGTATAGACCCAGAGTCCTTGAACATTCCTCATATGTTAGGCCTTTCATTCCTGGGATCATTCTTATGAACCTCCTCTGGACCCGCTCCAGAGCCAGTCCATCCTTCCTAAGGTATAGGGCCCAAAATTGCTCATAATACTCTAAATGTGGTCTGATCAGAGCTCTTAGCATGCTGTAATACTTTTCCAGTTAACATGCATGTCACTTATAACCGGCCTGTCTCTTTCTAGATACAAAATAGTGGGTAGAGATTATCGACAGTGTACACCTGAGGGATGGGAAGGTGAAGTTCCATCCTGTGAACGTAAGTTACGTTTCTTTCTTCTGTAAAGTAACTTACTTGTTTGTCCATACAAAATGATTGAACCACTTTCAATGAAATGTTGTATAAAATTGGGTCATATCCAATTGCATTTATTACTATACAGCATGTTTTGCATGTCCTACCTTGGAAACCTGACTTTTTGGAATGGGAGGAAACACTTTTTCAATGCTTTCATTCAACATTTCTTATTAACAGAACATAATGTGTGAATGGAGAAATGACCATACTTTATATCAATGTTGGTAGTATTGGAGTCAAAAGATGAGTTCGGATGGTGATGGGAAGGTTAGAAGGTGTTAATTTTAGTGGCTTTTGAGTTGTTTGGAAGTGCTGGTTTGGACAACAGGAGATTTGGAGGAGTAAGTGGAAGGTAAAGGAGAAGTGCAATTTAGATAAATGATCAATACATAAATCATGCTCATACTCCTGCTTCCATTGTTGTTGAAAGATGCTGCTGTGTCTGTGCTTGACATGTGTAGTTGTGTTAGTGCAACTGATTGGAAACTATCCCATTAATATATACTTGAGTAAAAGTAGTAGATATCGATATGGTGTCAAAAACATGGTGGACGATTTTAGTGGTGGTGGCGGCGCTGAGGCAAAGCAGATAATGCTATGGAATTGGAAACTTTCAGGTACGAGGATGTGAGAATCTGAAGTTACTTCCTCACTTCTGAGTTCCAGCTTCTCTGAAACAACAGGCACGATTGGATTAATCACTTTGATTAAATTTTGTACTTTTTCACTTGTTTTCAGTGAATTGCATAGAATATCTCTGCTCTTCCAAGATACTCAGTCTCTTATCATTTAGTAAGTAGATGAAGATTGGTGCAGGATATCACATCTTTCCATCAAAGATAGTGATGGATCTGTTGTGAATATTGCAGACAGAGAATATCCGAAACAGTATTTGTGTAGCTATTAATTTGACTGCTGCATTCCAATATTGGGCTAATTTATTATAGTTGGCAAGCTTGATGTGCCTGCTCATGATCATGTTGAATATCTATGAATTACAATGAAAAGTGCTGATCTGTGAATTTGATGACATTTCTATTTACTTTCATTTTATTTTCTGTGCAGCAATAACCTGTGGTAACCCTGGAGAGATTCTGAATGGATATTATAAAGCACCAAATAAAACCATTGGAAATAAAGTTACTTTTTATTGTGATGTTGGGTGAGTTTTCCATATGTAAGCTATTGAAGGACTATATTATTTTAATGTTGTGATGAATTCAGTTTAGATGTCTGTCCGTCTCTTGTTCTTCACATTTCTGATCACATCGTTTCATGTTATTACATTGTAAGCATGTTTCTTTCATTATTTGACTAATTTTGTTTTGGAAAGAAACGTAAAAAGGGAAGTGATTTTTGATTGATTTTTAGACCTTGGAATTCAAGCCTGGCCAGTACATTGGAATATTTTGCCAATTATCCTGAAGGTGGCCGATAACAGGTGATCTTCTTTTTCTAGGTATACAATGCTGGGTTGTAATTATCGGAACTGTACATCCAAAGGTTGGGATGGTGAGGTTCCATCCTGTGAACGTAAGTTCTATTTATTTCTTTAGTAAAGTGATGAACTGATCTTCCCTGCCAAATAATAGAGCTATTCTCAGTATATTGTTGGAACTTTGATTTAATTCCAAGTTTTCTTCCTTACAATATTTGTTCATGCTGGAGTTCCATCATCGTGCAAAAGATGGAAACTGATTAATAATTTTCTTTCAATATTGCCCTTAAAGAAAATTAAAGTGTGATTTGAGAAATGGTCATTCATCAAATCATGTTTGTTTGTTGCAGAATTTAATCAGCTGCCCTACTGCAAATGTTAAGTGTTGAAGCGTAGAGCAGGATTTTGATCTGGGATGGGTCATTGAGGAGGTGCTCACTTTAGAATAGCTGACAAACACAGTTTTGGCAAATGGAAATCTAGGAAGTGAAAGTGGCAATTAAGGAAAAGCACAGACAATAGTAGTTGTCCATAATTAAATCAGACTCGTACTCCCTTCTCTTCCTTTACCATTTTCATTTTATGCTCCAAGTAGTTCTCTATCTGCATCTTACTGAATTAGTTGTGTGAATGCAGCACTTGTTGCATTAATTTGTTGATCAAACTTGAAATAAATTAATAATTTTATCTGAGGTGACAAAAACATGGGAGACAGCCTTTTGTGGTGTTGGTGCTGAGGTGGAGCAGAGAATGCTGTGGAATCAAAGGTAAGTGGTCTTTGAGATGGCAAAGATACCGAAAGTCACCCCCCACTTTGGTGTTTTATCTTTTTCCTCTTATTCGCTGAAGATCAAGGGTGACTTACTTCCATTCTGGTTTGGTGGGTTCTGAGATTGCTGTTAAGTCCAATGTGTAATTTGCAAACTCTACCACATTTGGAGCAGGTGATGCTTGGACTGTTGGGTAACTGAGTTATTGGGAAATACATGCACTTTCACAGAGGCCTCAATATCACCTCAGTGTGTTCCTGATAGAGTCTTTCCATGTTCAGTGTTTCCCAGAATGAATTTTCTCCATTTGTTAGGTCACAAGCCAGGGGCTCCCAGAGTCAACAAGTGTGCTTGTCCTCTTCAGAGATGTCTTGGGGCCAAACTTAAAGCATTTTTGTTATTGTCCTCAGAGACCCTTGTCATGAATAATTTCCAAATAAAGCAGTTGCTTCAGAGCCTGGGGTAAAGATGACGTGTCCTGCCCAGAAATTGTGTGATTATCCCCTTGATACTGAGCAAGTTCTAACTCCCATAGAGTAAAATACTACATTCTATTAACCATTTTGAAATATTATGGAAATTGGATTCCAAAGTTAAAAGTAATTTGCCACACTAAGTAATTGTGTAGTTGCATGGTATCTTTCAAGTTAAATAAATAAATTGCAATGAAAGAACTTTTGAACATTTTTGAGTTCTGTGACATTTCTACATTTTCCCATTTTATTTTCTGTATAGCAATAAACTGTGGTAACCCTGCTAAGATTCCGAATGGATATTATAAGACACCAAATAAGACATTTGGGAATATAGTGACCTTCTATTGTGACATTGGGTGAGTATTTGCAACATAAAATAATGAACAATTTTGCTAAAAGACTGTGCTGTTATAACGTTGAATCATAAGACATTTTCAGGTGGTCACATTCATCTTGTCATGCATTTCTAATACACATTTTCCACTTAATTATGGTTGGGGCTTCCAATTCAATCCTGAGCTGACTGTTTTTTTAAAAATGTGTATATTCTGATCAGGATCAGGGATGTTGCTGCATGAGTTTTGAATACCTATCGACAGAGAGAAATGTTAAATGTGTTGATGATGCCTGTGCCCATACACTGAGATCAACACTGGATGAATTTATCTGCTGTGTTCCTCAAAATGCTTAAATTATATTGTAATTTGTTCCAAGGTGAGATGGTGCACCATGATCCTCCTGTAAATTGGACTATATATAAAGTGTGATCAGCATCATTTTTAGCAATATTGCAATTCTATTTAATTTCAAATTCATTTTTCTGCTCAACTATTACCACATTTGATTTTATTGCATACAATTTATTGATTTAAATGTTTCCTCATCTTAATTCGTTATCTAGCCCGAAAAATGTGCATCTTTACAAGTTAACATCCAGGTCATTGATACGGGTGGATATATTCTCTTTTACCTAGATACAAGATGGTGGGTAGAGATTATCAACAATGTACAGCTGAAGGATGGGTTGGTGATGTTCCGTCCTGTGAATGTAAGTTAGATTTCCCTCTTTTGTAAAGTGATGTTTTGGTCTGTACCAAATGATTGAGCTGCTGTTAATGAATTGCCATGTAATATTGGTTGACATTCAAGTTTTCTTTGCTTCAGCATTTTGACATCCTCTCGCTTGGACTGCTGAATTTCAAAATGGGACAAAAGAATCATTAATTGCTTTGATGCAACATTGCATATTTATGGAATATAACATGTGAAGTAAGAAGTAATTGTTCATGAAATCAGTTTTATTCCTTGAAGAGAATGCAATTTTTCACTGCATTGCAAGTGTTACTGATGGAACATCAGGCTAGGCATTGGTGTATGATGTGACATTTTGGAGGTGGTTATATTAGTGGAAATATGACTGACATGAAGTGGCAGTGTGGGCCATGGAGAGCAACGAAGTGAGAATAAGTGATAAAGGGAAACATGCAATCGATGTTAATGACCCATAAGTCATGCTCACCCCTTTCTATTTCTCTTAGTTTTTGTTTAATGATTCAAGTGGGGCTGTTCTTTTGCCTCTACTGAGTTAGGTGTATTAGTGCAGCCCATAGGAAACTGTTGCATTAATTTACTGCAGAAGCTTGAAAGAAAGTAATAAATATTGAGGAGGTGGCACAAACATAGTGGAAGATTTTAGTGGTGATTGTGTTGTGGTAGATTCAATAATGCTTTAGAAGTCAAATGGTCACTTCTTCATTTTGAGGTCCAACACCCTTGAAATCAGAGGTTATAATCTTCTTGATCTTGTTGTGCTACTCCAGGATATTTACAAACTCTCCTGAAGGAAAGAAAATATTAAATGTATTTAAGAAACATCCTACTGTGGATTTATTTTGCTATGAGGCTGCAAAAAAGAGTAAGATCATGCGAAATTGCATCACTTCCCAGTGATGTATACTTTGCTGATTAACATATCACCAAGTCAGATGTAACTCCTTACACTTCATGAACAATATTTCAATACCAGTTTGCTTATGTATTAGACCAGCAATTTTAAGTGTCTTTTGTACTTCAGAAATGGATTTCTAAATGCCTTTGCTCCTGCATGGTTGCCATGCTCCAATCATTTAGTGGATAGCAGGATACCTGCCACTGGCTGGAATTTAACACAACCTGCTAGAGTGGATATCAGGTTGGGGATGGGTTACTGAGGGAATTGGGCAGAAGGATTCACATCAGATTCCAGATGACCTGAAAACTGTGAGGATAGGCAACAGCCTGATATAAGAATCTAGTCTGCTGGTTATGTAATGACAATTCAACCTGTTAATGAATAATTTGAGAGCAGTTATCTCTGAGACCATCATAATATAGGGGTACTTTTAGAGTTACACTCCTTGCCTCTGAAGACCATGCAGGAAACAATGTTGGATACTCCTGTATCTTGGAGTGGGTGTGTTTTTCATTGTCAGAAAAATCAGTGCCCAATGGAGAGATCCAGCATCAGAAAAAAATCCCTACCCTTGTACACATCTACCCCACCCCCTGCCCTCACCTCATCATCATAGAATCTCTACAGTGTAGAAACAAGCCCTTCGGCCCAACAAGTCCACACCGACCCTCAGAGCATCCCAGCCAGACCCATCCCCCTGTAACCCACCTAATCTACACATCCCTGAACACTATGGGCAATTTAGCATGGCCAATCCACCTAGCTTGTACATCTTTGGACTGTGGGAGGAAACAAGAGCACCGGGAGGAAGCCCACGCAGACACAGGGAGAATGTGCAAACTCCACACAGACCGTCATCCGAGAGCAGAATCGAATCCAGGTCCCTGGCGCTGTGAGGCAGCAGTGTTAACCACGGAGCCACTGTGCTGCCCCAGACCTGTCTCCTGTATACTTTGATGCAGCAGAGATGCTAAGGCTGGGCCTTGGAGCATTATTATCAGCAGTCACCCTTCATAGTACCACAAGGTGTTGATTGACGTTTGTAGCATAGCTGGTAAAGGAGAACCACCTTCAGCTTTGATAACGAGAAAGGCCTACATTGGCTGGGTAAGTGCGTGTGAAGGTCCTTACAACAATTCGGGCCTTTTACATATGGAAGAGATGTGGGGTTTCCACTGATTCACCCATTGATATTGAAAACCCCATTGCTGGGACTGTATGTGACCATGTTGATTTTAGGTTTCTTATCAAGATTTATGATGTTCGATACAGAGACCAGTTGCAGTGACATATTGTGAATTTAGAGAAAATCCTGCATTATAAATGCCATACTTTAGAAAAGTAAAATAACTTGTTATTCTAGACAATTGTGTAATATTTCATTCTCTTGTTAAATATCTGTGAATGACAATGAAAAATTTTTCAGCTTCTTTGGATTCTTGTAATATTTCTAATTTTTCATGTTATTGTATCCTTTTATAGCGATGAATTGTGGTAACCCTGGCTCAATTCTGAATGGATATTATAAAGCATCAAAATGGACTGTTGGAAGTAATGTTACCTTTTATTGTGATACTGGGTGAGTATTCAGTATATGAATTACAGAATAATTTTAATGAAGGTCTGTGTTATTTTAATGTTGTGATTTAGTTGATTTCAAATGACCACAACTTCACCATTTCCGATAAAATCTCTTCGCATGAGCTCTGAGGGAGACTTCCATTTTAGTGTTCAGCTGGCAATTTTAAACAAAATTCCAATATATGATGAAAATGCAGGACAGTAGTACAGGAACAGGAATATTAATGTAAAAATGGAAATGTTTAGAAGGCAGCAGTACAGGTTAGTGTTTCAGAGATAGTCGGATCTGCAGATGCTGGAGAATCTGTGATAACAAGGTGTAGAGCTGGATGAACACAGCAGGCCAAGCAGCATC